TGATTTAAATGAGGCAATGTGGCAAAGTGCCTCATACATTAAGCCTCATCATTTATAAGACTGCACTGGGCACTGTGGCAGATACAAAGATAAACCCCTTCTAAAGGGTGCTGAATAGCCTATGGAAGGACACAGGCACGTTTTGCAAATAACTGCTCAATAGGGCAGAATATGGCAAATATTATAATAGAGACAGAAACAAAAGCATGATCATGGGAGAGCAGCAAAAGAATAAATAATGTTAGAAAAAATGGAGTTATAAAGAAAAGGACCCACGTTCAAAGGGAGATGACAGAAGGTGGGACTTAGCAAGGCAGGTGAGAATTGTTATAATAGAATTTTTTAATGTGTAATTTTAATCTATTAAGGTAAAATTAAAAATTAAAAATGTAATTCCTTACTAGGGCAACTGCAGTAAAACTGAAACTCTCAACCATTCAAAACATTGCTTATGACACTATCAGTGGATTCAACCCTTCTGGAAATTAGATAAATAAATCAAGAACTACAAAATGCATTTTCCATTGTATCCAGTAATCCCACTTTTGGAAATTTTTCTGAATAATAATTTAAAATGTGGAAAAAACATGCACAAAGTTCTTTATATCAGAATTGCTTATAGTGGCATAACAGTAGAAGCAACCAAACTCATAGGAGAAAATAGTTAAGCTGCTTATGTCAAAGCTTCTCAATGAAGTTTCACAAAGTCATTTTAAAAGGTGGCTATGTAGAGCATGGAAATGTATGTAATTACAGTTATGACGATGTTTCTGAAAAGTTACATATCTGGGGGAAAAAACTGGAAGGGAAAGCAGCTAAAAACAAATCATTGTTTTGAAGGTGGTGAAGAAACATTGAAAGAAAATTTATTTTTAAAACTTTGTGGTTTTTTATACATATTGATATGAGTCATGTACCTTTGTGTCCCCACCATAACAACCTTCCTCCACATATCGACTTCTAGCGTATTATTATTACATGTTACATTTGCCTGGACTTAATTATTACAAGTCCATCTCTTCCTACTAGGCAGTGAAACCCTTGAGTCTTGCTTTGTGTATTCCCAGCTCCAAACATGGGTCTGGAACATAAAAGGTTATTTCATAATTGTTTAATCAATGAATGCATTAGTTAATGAATAGATAAATAAATAGGTAGGATTTTCCAAATTTTAGCTATTCTTAGTATATATTATTTATACTTTGAAATTTTCTTAATCCTTTGAGACATTAGGGGAGAGTTCTAAATCTTTTGCCTCTAACCCCCTCTAACCCAAGAATTCCTAGAGGTCTTTGAGATTCAGAATCCAAGTGTCTGGCTGAGCTACTCAGCCAGTGTGGAGAAAAGAGCATAGGAAAATGCTGCTTTGGCTAAGAATTAACCCCAGATTTCCCCAGATTTCACAGACCAGTGTTTACATTCCACACTAACAAAAACGTAAAAGCCTCAGAAAGACCTTCTAAAAAGAATACATGTAAACAAGGGGCATATTTATCAGAACAATATACACAGATATGGAAGTCTTATATATTTAGGGCTTTTTTTCTGGGTAAACAAAATATTTACAAATGGCCCGGAATGTACAAATGGCCCAGTAAATTGTCAATTTGTGAGGGAAACAGAACAATTAGGAGGGGGATATTGGTTTTTGTGCTGAATGAGAACAATTCAACATTCAAAAATTCAATAAATAGGAATGTTGTGTTGTCTGTTCAACCTCTGAACCAAGCAAAAAACTTTCAAACAGGAAAGGACCTTGAAATTGGAAAAGATAAGCTTGTTCTTATACATGTTTTGCTGGTATGCTTGTGTTTTAAATAACACATCCCTCCAATACAAAATGACATGTGTTGAATAAAAGAAAGGAAGGAAGGAAATAGGAAAGGAACAATGGAAGGACCCTTAGAAACACTGAAAAATACAGAGAAAAAAACGTTACAGGCCTTTGTAATCTTGAAAGGCATTCATTATGATGATGATGTCTTAAGGGATGAGCATTCATAGGGTTTTGCAGTCGGACTAACACTATTGGTATAACCTGAAATTAGACTCTTTGAGTCCTAGTTATCTCATTTATATCATGAGAATAATACATATCTTACAAGTTGATTTAAAAATTAAATATGACATCTATAAATATGTAACATACTTTATAAAATGTTAATCACAATGCCTAACTCAACAACACTCAATATATTTTTACTTTGTGTTTAATGGCCAAACTTATCCTCACCTCATTACTGCCAACTGCACCAATGCTATGGCTGATCCCATTAGGCTCCTGTTCTGGGGCAAGGAACTGCAACATGAGAAATATTTTGCACTTTATCACTAAAATTTCTAGAGTTAAACTGGCCCCAGTTAAATTATAGATGGCATAAATACCTGTTAGGAGTGGATGAGGGCATAATAAGAGTAGGCTCCAGCCACCTGTGGGGTTTGGAAAGTGCTATCCTGGCTACAGAGCCCTTGAGCCTTCTTTGTGCAGATGGAGCAGATGGTCCCTACCCACAGACACTTGGTGACAGAGCAGGCTTGGACCTCTGTTGAGACATAGCTTGTACGTTAGCAGTGAGCACTCTTTAGGGACCACCCAGAGAAACATTCCCACCAAGAGCTTCCTCCTCCTTGAGGATGTTTGGACCTTTGGAAAGTTCTAGTCATTTTCCCAATGGTTATCCCCATTCCCGCTTCCTCTGCCACTTCCAGCAAACAAATCTGGACTCTCTGGCGCCTCACCTCAAATCAATAGTTAAGCCTGTTTGATTTTCATTATATTTATCACTATCTGATATGCTCTTATGTCTTGAGGGATATCACTGTCTGATATTGTTTATGCATTTTCATTTGTTTCTGTCCATCTGCCCTTCTTACACGCACTCTCCAATAGAATGTAATTTCCTTGACGGCAGGCATCACATCTGTCTAATTCATGCTGTATCTCAGAACCTAGCACACCTTCCCAGCATGGGAGCGCAAGAGATTCTATCTGGAGACACCAGACATACAGCAATCATCTCGATTTGTTAGCACCTGAGGAATGCATCCCCAAGGAAACAAAGGGCAAAGGGCCATGACCCCTTTATATACCCATCCTTAGAACTTCATATGGGGGAATGATTGGTTAGCTTTCCCACGGCAAGGATATATTTGTTGTTCCTAGTTCTTTCTCTTTCTTGTCTTCCAAGCCATCAACCTGGCTTTTAAGCATTATACTTCCTTCATATAGCCTTTCTCTGCCAGGCCATCACTTCCTTTGCAAAAGTAATTATGAACACCTTACCTCTTTCATACATCTGGAATACATTGAAAAGCACTGATTGTCATTGTATAAGGTTACCTGAAAACGTGCCATATCTACAGTTGCTATGTTTTTCAGGCTGTCTAGACTATTTAGTGGAATACAGTATTTCTTATCTACTCTCTTTACACAAGCAAGTTGCCATCCTTGCCCAGCTATACTATGCTTTTAGAATCATATATCCATTCAGGATCTATTCCTCCCCTGGAGGGAGAATGTCAGCTGAGCTCTGCAAAATTCTTGTGTGTAAAGGGTGACCTTGAAAGGTCCTGCAGAAAATGGCCTCTTCAGTCCTAGGTGCTTCACCTCAGCTATGACTGCTTACAAAGTAAGTCTTCGTGTCATGAGCCCTGGTACTTTTCAAGAATTGTTGCATAGAGAAAAGACAGTGCTTTCACCACTGTCTGTAACCTGCTCTTAAAGCAAAGAAATGGAAGCTGGGACTGGAAGTGATGGCAAAAACCAATTCTGAGGGCAAAAACCAATTTCCCTGGAACTGGAACACCTGCCTCATTTAAAGTCACCATATGACACATGCTTTCACAAGTGTTCAGAAAAACTTCAACTACTTTACAAAATTCAATTAATTCTTGAGTTTCCTCCCTGGGGTAAAACAAAACCACAACTATAGTTAAGGCTTAAGAAACAGTTGCTTAAGTGACATGAAATAGAATCAAGAAAAGATCTGCAAAGATGAACCTGAAATGGACATTCAGGCACTGGTTTTTGGAAGCACTTAGTTTTGCTTCTCTCTCTCTCTCTGGCCAGACCCCAGATGTCAGTTCCTCTCAGATCCTTCTTTTCTCTCATATACCTTCCCACAGAGTCAGGCCTTGCACACAGTTAAAGATCACATTCTCAGGGTGGCACAGGCTGTCTTTCAAACAGTCAGTGAAAAGATATAATGGGGGAAATGAGTCATCTTGGGAGGTAGGAGTATGGCTACACCTTAATAACGGTCTGTAACAGGAAGACCTTTACCTACATCACTGCCTCCATACACCTACCCATGTCACCCAGGGGTGCTCTGATGGCCCACAGACTGCACACTCCTCCGATCTAATTAACGATGCCACCCACCCCACCTACTAAGCACGTTTCCAATTTCAGGGGTCTCCAGCTCTCCTCCACCACCCACTTCTCTTCTCCACCTTTCCACTCCTATCTATATGGAGATAATTAACTATTTGGCTATTTACTAATACTTCTGTCAATGAAGATTTCAGGCTCATTCTAAGACCTTAAACTGAAATGTGTAAGAATTTAGAAAATTAACAACCAGCTAACAAAACTTTCCTGAAGAATAAAAATATCCAAGATCTAAAACTTATCTTAAAGGAAATGGATCCCACACCACGAATCCCCCTTTTCTCGTTACCCCCGGCTTCCTATTATGAAAGATCGGCAACCTTACGAATAAACGACAAATTCTGTAACAATTAGGTTTCTTCTTGGGAGCTCCTTAAGGACGCAGGAGTAACCGTGGGGTGTGTGTGGGGATGGGGGTGGAGGGTAGAGTGGAGAAGGTCCGGAGAAGCGCAAAGGTCACAGGTTCTTGTAGACCCCGACTCTGTTCCTTTGGTTACTTGACCCCGGGTTGATGCGTCCCCGGGACTGCGGGTCAGCATGGGGGGGTATGACTACGAGGCCCCGCACACGCCGGTCCCCACCCCCGCACCCTGCGCCTGCCCGCGCAGCGTGACTGGCCGCCGCTGCAGACTGGGCTCCGGGAGGCGCTGAGAGCCGCGCGCTGAGCGGGAGAGGCAGGCGGGCTGCTGCCTGGCGTCCGCGGCGCCGTCCTCCCTCCTCCACTGCCTCCGCCCCTCCCCTGGCGGCCGCGCTGCCTGGGAGCCAGGGAAGCCGCTGCTCCGAGCCCTCAGCCGGGGTGCGGGGGCCAGCACCGAGGCGAGGGCGGCGGAAGACCGGAGACCGTAGCCCCGAGGGAGAGGCAGAGAGGGGGCCCTGGCCTGGGCGGTCCGAGCTGAGCGTGTGTGTGCGCGTAAGAGCGGGGGCTGCACGGTGCACGGCGCGGACCCAGCCAGCCCCAACCCAAGTCGCCGCAGCCGAGACACGCGCGGTACAGCCATGAACACCAACGATGCCAAGGAGTATCTGGCCCGAAGGGAAATCCCTCAGCTTTTCGAGGTAGGGGGCTAGTGCTGGCAGAGGGGCGGGAGAATGGGGAGGGTCGCGGGTGGGGAGGGCATCTTGGGGCTCATGGGGAGGAAGCCGCGCCCCGTCCCACCTTGCCAACGTGGGGCACGGAAGTGAAGGAGCTGACAGAAGCTCGCCCTGGGGGGTTAGCCGCCTTTCCCGGGGGTTGCCCGGGTCCTTGTCCGAAGGCTGAGCTCAGGAGCCCGCATCTCCTAGATCAAGTTTCAGTCTTCTAGCGGCTTCTGAAGCAGGCTGCACCCCTCGGACGCGGACATCCAGGGTGGGCTACAAGCCGCTGCCGGCCGCGCTTTCTGGAGGCGAGGGCCAGGCCAGGTGGGTACACTGGCGCCCACGAGCGTGCAAGGACTCGAAACCGAGGGGTCAAGGGCCCTAACCCCTCCGCGCGCCAAGGATCGGGGTCCCAGCGGTGGAGGGGAAGTGTAGACGAAAGCAGCCCACGCGGGGGACAGCTTGGAAGAAAGGGATGAAGATGCAAAAACAAGTCCAAACCTATCCAAGGGCAGCGCTACCTCCCGGGTGGCAGGCAACCTGCACTGCTCTGCGCTTTCGGTGAATGAACTCCTGAGCACGTTTTCTCGTAGCCTTTGGAGGGAGGGCTCACTTGGTCGCCTCCGCGGCCCAGCTTTCATCAGCCCTCTCCAACCCACCTAGAGAAAGCAGGTCCGAAAGGCAGCGGCGAGGCGGGTGTGACTCCTGTTGCTCTGCCTTCAGACCGCATCACAGCATCATCTGCACCAGGGACCCCGGGGGTGCGGGTCACACACTGAGAATGTGGAAGAGGTGGAGGATTGAGGAACCAAAGGAACCTTAGTTAGCTTTAAACCACAGCCTCTGTCGCGAATCGTTTTTGCTTCCTTTCATTCTCTCCATATTTGAATTTTAAGATATTTGCTTAGGTTGAAAAAAATAAAATAAAATAAAACATGGAAGCAAGCCAAGTTCCACAGAGGGAGCCCGGACAGGGGACATCCATCCGTTCACTGCAAACCTGGCCCCCTATTTCTGGAAGATGATAGACTGACTGATACAGTAAATTAAAGCTCATGAGTTTTTCTTTCTCCTGTATGGGGTGGTGGTGTGGGTTCTACTAAAAGGAATTTTTAAATACCATTTGGGAAAAGAATTTTGCCCCTGTTTTTTTTAATTATCTTTAAAATGCGCTGCCATAATGACTGATCTTCATTTTTTTTGTTGTTGTTCACCTCTGTAAGCCACCGTGTTTAGGTCCATTTCAAGCCGAGATTTCCAGGTAAACTACCCACTTAGCCTAAGCCCGGTATGTGAAGCCCCAAATCTATCAAGTGTGTTACTCGTGCTTGAAAATAATCAGGAAGTGTTGTGTAAGGACAGGGTCTTGGGAGTAAATAGGATTCTTGTCAAGAGTTTTTCCTTCTTCTTCTTCTTTTTTTTTTTAATTTTCAAAAAGTAAATACTGAGATGAAGAACTGAACCAAAACGTTCAAAACGGTCATAAAAACTACTACTGAGATCAATTTCATTCCTACATTTCAAAAAGAATAACTAGAAACATCTGCAGGAGAGTCACCTGATTGTAAAGTGCTGCTTAATAGTATGTCTTTTTTCTTTATAAATGTGGTTACTGGTTTTACTCCTTGGTGGAAGGTAACCACAGGGCATTTTGATAGTTTTTTCATGAAAATCACTGAACAAATAAGTATGCAAATAAGTATGCAAATAAGTGATGGCAGGAATTTTTTGTTCAGGTGCTATGCTTTTCTTTCATTGGCTTTTCTGTATTTGAATGAGATTTTTAAAAACAGAGCACACCCAGAAAAGGAAGTCAACTCGCTTAGGTGAAATGCAGTAACACGGTGTACTTAAATGCAGCCCTGCACAATGGAAGGTGGAAAGAGACTGCTGGTGACCTCCAAAGGCCTTCCAGTAAGAAGACTGTGTGTGTGCACAGCAAAGAGAGGAGTAAAGCCTGGCACTTCTCCATGTGATGAGTATAGACAACAATACGAAATGCTTTAAGTTTCCAAACTGGATTTCCCCCCTTAAAATCACAGTATAGGTATACAAAGTTTCTAGGTACACAACGTTTAACAATTAGGCATCTATGAAACCCAACACATTGGCCCAGACATGAATATTAAACACCATTATAGACCAAGTGACTGATTATTGAACTTATATATTGTCAAACAACTAGGTGTATTTAACTGAATTTTTCAGATTTCTTCCTGACTTGAGACATTACATAGGCTAAATGTCATATCTCTAGTAGGTTCAAGTTGGAGATGTGTTTCCATTTTTAGATTAAATGTTTCTTTTTAAACCACTTTTCCCTGACTTTGTCATGATTTTTTAACTCTAGCTAACTTTTTGGTGTATATATTGAATGTGTACTTCTATACATTAAAGCAGAGACTTGGCAATTAATTTGAATACTAAGAAAAGTCAAATTACATTATTCAAGTCCTCAAACAATTAACTCAAAGAGACTGAGTAGTAATGTTTGCTGGTTATCTTTGATCTGTGCTGGTGGCTGGCTACTAGAAAAAAGGACTTAAATTACCCAGGAAGGAGTGGGATCCATCCCCCCTTCCAAAATCAGTGCCCTTTGGGGAGTTAATTTTGTTCAGAGAGGCTGGAAATGTATATTATCTAGTAAAAAAAAAAAAGAGAGAGAAAGAAAGAAAGAAAGAAATTTCATTGAGTATGTTTACCTATTTTAGGTAATAATAAGTATTAAAAAAATAAAAGACATAATCTTGAGTGATTTGGATTATGTATGGGGCACAGATAACCTGGCCTTTTCTTTTTATCTCATATCCTATTTTTGCATGATGTAGAGAAAGAGTAATATAGGATTTTGAATCAGAAACATTGAGTTGGAATCTGGGGCCTGTTAGTTTCTAGCTGAGTAACCTTGATCAACTAACATCTCTGAGTCATGATTTCCTAATCTATAAAATGCGGATAATACTGCTGCATAGGGCTGAGAGTGCATTGGGTTAGCTAATGCATACAAAGATCCAGAGTAAGCACTGTCCCCGAGTTAGCTATATTAACATAGGAGAATGTCAGAAGTTAAAAGGTGGTGTGTGTGTGTGTGTGTGTGTGTGTGTGTGTGTGTGTGTGTGTGTGTGTGTAGCACAGATTTTGACACAAAGACTGGATGTGGATGCCCAAGTTACTTTTTTCTACTCCCTCTGCAATTGAACTCGTCTGATTCAACACTCTAATGCACACTATTTAGGATTTCAGAGAACAATTGTACCTGGTAAGAATTGACTACCATTTTGAGCAAATCGCACAAGAATAATGTGAAAATAAACACTGTATTTAGGAAAGATGTCAACCTTTCAAAGGGCGTGGGTTTTGTGCGTTAATAATGTATATTGGTGATAATAATCCCCAGTGCTTTTTCCATGAAATACTCTAAAAGAAAATATTTTGTACACCAGTCCAGTTCCCAGAAGTCAGCGCTTCCAAATCTGTAGCATTTTTAGAAACTGGTACATGTGATGCATCAGACACCAGGAACAGAAAAAGTAATACAGAATCATGCTTTTTCCCCCCTTCTGTAACCTCAGTGGATATTATGGTGACTTTTATATCAAATAGCATTTTTAAAAATTTCAGACTACATGTTTTGAGTAAAATTGTTTTCCTCATTAGAAACTGTTCAATATTCACCTACCATGTGCCAGGGAAAGTGTTAGGGGCTGGAGACTGAAAAATAAATAAGACCCACACTGTGTTGTTGAGAGGTTTATAGTTTAGATGAGGAAACCGACAGATAAACTGATGATTTCAATATAAATGACAGTTTTTTTCTGAGTACCATAGGAACACAGAAGAAAGGGTCCACAAGCCAACCTGAGGGCTCAGGGGAGACTTCCTGATAATAACAATATTAGCTATTGAAACCAACAACAACATTTATTAAGCATTTACTATGTGCCATGCATTTAATATGCATTCTACAAATATAACTTTAGTCCTTAAGAAAGCCCTCTGAGGTAGGTATAATTACTCCTATTCTACACTAGAAGAAACTGAGCTTTGGAGACTTTAAGGATGGGTAGAATTGTGATCAATAATAACTGGGGCATTTTACACATGGCACTTTATCTCACTTTGTTAGAGCTCTTCCATTTTAAACTATACAAGTATAGTTACCTGAATTGTTTAAAAAGCAGAGAATGCCAAGCTGAAAACGAATTGGTCAAGACTTGAAGGGGAGGGGCCAGCTGAATGACTCAGTTGGTTAAGAGTTAGATTAAGAGTGCGAGCTCTGAGCAACAGGGCCGCCTGTTCAATTCCCACATGGGCCAGTGACGCTGTGTCCGAGCTGAGTTGCTGCTGAGCTGCCAACAGGTGGCAGAATGGCTCAGCTGGTGAGAGCACGTGCTCCTAACAATAAGACTGCCTGTTCGATGGTGGGCTGTGCCCGCCCGCAACTAAGACTGAACTTGGCACCTTGAGCTGAGCTGCTACTGGATGGCTCAGTGGATAGAGCATGTGCTCTTAACAACAAAGCTGCTGGTTCGACTCCCTCATGGGATGGTGGCTATTCCCACCCACAACTAAGATTGTAACACAGCACCTTGAGCTTAGAGGCCAAAGGTGCCAATGGGCAGCCAGATGGCGACTGGAGCCCTCCACAACTTGGCTGGTCCCCCTCCCCAATTCCCCAATTAAAAAAAAAAAAGAGGGCCAGCCAAGTGGCTCAGCTGGTTAAGAGCTCGCTTGGGAGCACCAGCTCTGAGCAGCAGAGCTGCGGTTTGGATCCCACATTGAGGGCCAGTGACTCTCGCCCTCTACAGCTAAGATGATGAACAACAGCTCGACCTGGAGCTGGGCTGCTGTGAGTCGCTGGCGACGGCGTAGGCTGCAGCAGGGCTGCAGTGGGCTGCCGTGAGCTATGTGAGTGGCTGGCAGCCAGCGTGAGCGGCTGGTAGCCAGTGTGAGCTACCGGGAGCCGCTGTGAGCGGCCAACCAACGACTGGCGACCGATTGCCTCACCCGGGAAGAGCACAATGATCATACCAACATGGGCCAGTGAAGCAACATCCTCCACAACTAGACTGAAGAACAAAACAGCAATTTGTCTACCTGTCTGTTCCCCTTCCCCGATTCCCCAACACTGTTACCCTCCCCGCAATTCCCCAATAAAATCTTAAAAAAAAAAAAAGAATTGAAGGGGTTATCTTAATTAACCAGATCATAATTTCAACTCTAATTATATATTAAAAGACAAATGCAAAGAATAAAACCCAGAATTTAGAGATGGGACATACATTATTTTAACAAAGATGGTTTTAAAACATATTTTATGTGGGCATGTTTTGTTGTGTTTCAGAGCCTTTTGAATGGACTGATGTGTTCTAAGCCTGAAGACCCAGTAGAGTACTTGGAAAGTTGTTTACAGAAAGTAAAGGAACTAGGTGGCTGTGACAAGGTGAAATGGGATACGTTTGTCAGCCAGGAAAAGAAGACCTTACCTCCACTCAATGGAGGACAGTCACGGAGATCCTTTCTGAGAAATGGTAATGTATATGTAGAATAATAGTTTATAGTTATAGCAGTTCTCTTTAAATCATACCATGTAGACTGTAGGCAATAATTTAATTTATTAGGTGTCCAAATGCCTGAAAGAATATTTAGCCCTGGAGCATGATTAATCTCCCTCTGCTACTAATTGTAATCATCTCTATGATAAGACAAACATAATCACATACCATTGTCCAGCACTTCATTATAAACGCCTAGTGAAGTTTTATATTACTGACTTCATTATTTTGCAAAATGAATTACATGAGCACACTATGAATTGTTCTTACAATTTCAAATAAGACTTCAAAATAAATGAGAAGATGACAGACAAAACTGATAGTTATTAGTCACTGGGAAGAGACTTGACTTATTAACATGGTTTCGAATTCAGAGTTAATATGAATGCATCTGCATAAATGCATATAAAGTTTATATTAGTTAATGCAACAAGGATTTATTAAGCAGCTACTGAATGTGACACATTAGATTAAGTGTTCGGGTGCTATGAAACAAGTAAAAGCCATAAACTCGTTTAATAGTTTGAGGAATAGTGTGAAACTAAGAACTGGAGTTTGCTAGAGGAGATTCGTGGTATTCTGGTAGCTTTCTAAACAATGTGCTTATCGAAATAGTGGTTCAGCATCAGCCAACAAGCCTTTTAGGTTCTGAGTGAAATTGAGAAGTGTAATAGTATGTGCACAATGGAATCAGTTCCAATCAGGGGAAACTAAATGGAGTCTTTCCCAGTGGCCAAGATCATTATATTTTCCAAATTTAAACCATTCTCAAAAATAGTGTCAGCTATACAGGCAGAATTTGAAGTGGAGATCCTTCTAATTGCAATAAATACAAGGGGAAATAAATCTCAGATTGTTTTACCTTATTTAGTCATGACCCACTTAGATTTTGTTTGAATGCAGTGTGGGGGAAAGTCAAATGTGTTAATTTTTAAGAAACACAAGCATAGAGGGAAAGCAGAAATAACATTTTCTCCAGAGAGGAGAATCCTTTCCTGTCTGTGCTGGAGTCATCACTAGGTGGTTTAGGCTTGGGTGCTCAAGAGAGCACCTTTTTTCAGTTATGCCCACAGCACACTTCTAGGTAAGTTATTTCTTTGGTAAACAAAATGATATTTTTCCTGTGTTTAAAAAAGTTTGAATACCTTCCTGAAATGGCTACCTTACGTCCCAGGGTGTTGTCATACTCTTAGAATCTGGCCCAATGTTAAATACCTGCCCTATGCCCTTGTTAAATCAAGTGAGACAAATATGGGTAACTGCTTTCTAAACTTTAAAGCACTAACAAGCCTCAGGTATTACTGGGTTCAGTCTAAGATAATTTTACATTTCTAAATTTAAGTCTAAGAGGATATGACATTCACTTAGTCAAAAACTGCTCTCAGACTGAGTATAGAAAGTGACAGTTTTGCAGCAAAATGAATGATGTCTCTATATTGTAGTTACTTGGCTTGATTATACATAGCAGCCAGGCAGGCAAGCATGTAATAGAGAATAGTGGGGACTGTGGTCAAACCAGAGAGCAGAACTAGAGAGAACGGTTATTGTCTAAAGGTGGTTAAGTACAAATTTTGGAAAAATGTCAAGCTGAACAAAACACACCTGTGGGGCTCTACTGGGCCCACAGATGACCAGTTCATAACTCCTGATCTGGCAGGAGGAGCTAACTTAGGAATGGAAAAGGTAGGTTTAACTTTCATTAGAATTAAAATTGCTTGTTAACTTAAGTCTCCGTATCTATTAATATGTCACCAGAATTCCCATCAGAGATCTTTTAATTAATTATCAAACAGAACTTTTCATGTACTATGGTGACAAGAATGGTGTATCACACCGTCCCTTATCTAGAATGTATGCTAAAAGGCAGAGACTGATTTGCTTGTAATAATAAAATTTTATTTTATGAAAATACTTTACACATTTGTGCTTTGTAGGTTTTAGCTATAATTTATGGGCTAGATTTTAAATTCAATAAAATGGCTAATTTCACAGTAATTTAAAGCATTATGATTATTTCTATTAATATAAAGTGATTCGTGCATTTTTGCCAAAATATTGACATAGCCATGCTAATATATAATTATCATGAAAAATTATTCTGTGAAGTAAAATATTTTGGTCCTTTAAGCAAATTACTTTCCTAAGTAAGAATATGACAAAAGCAAGGATAAATTATTGGCTGACACTTCTTTAAAGCATTTTACTACAAATGTGAGATGAGCCTTTGTTTTTTTCTGCCATATGTATACAATTGAACAAAAAATTGCTTGTGAATAAAAGTTCTAGCCCCATAGCTCCAAATGTCCATAGAGCTTCTCTTCTGGAATGCCTCATTGTCATATTATACTCAACATATCCCAAACCAAACATACCAACATACCATATCTGCTTCAAAACCAGCACTCCCTTACCCTTTTCCTATTTCCATGAAGTCAGTTAATGAATCGTTGAGCAATAAAATAACCATTTATTGAGTACTATGTGCCATATACTCTTTTAGGACTAAGCATGTAGCCACCAAGAAAGAACAAACATGGCACTTGCCCCCATGGAGCTTACTGTCTAGCAATGAAGTCAGGCAATAAAAATATCATTAGAAGCACAGTGGGTGCTATAGGAAATACTATAATACGTGTTATAGAACTAGCCATATTAACAAGAGCATGGATCCAACTTAGGCTATGGGACTTAAGATTCTAATGGGAGAAGAAAAACAATGAATGAATAAGAGCCCTCTCAGATGATGAAGTGGAAGTGTTTTACAGAACATTATTAAAGAGATGTCTTTGAAATTAACTGGGTGGCTTTAGATTAAAAAGTAAGCAAGGTCCTCTTATAGAACATGACATTTAAGATGGGGTGTGCATGACAAGAAGAAGTCAGCCGTGGGACTAACAGAAGATCATTTTAGGCAATGGATTGTGGGGACAAGCACGGAAGCAGGCAGACCTGCCAGAGACTATTATGATAGTCCAGGTAGGTGATGGTGGCTTGGGCAAGAGTTGTGGTAGTGGAGATGGATGAAAGCATATGAATTTGGGGATATGTTTTGGAGCTAAAAATCTATAGGAGTAGTTGTGAAGAGTGAGGAAAGAAAGTAATCAAGGATAATGCCTAGTTTTGCCTTGTGCTAGAAGAAGTAATTCAATTTCAAGGCAGAACAGGATACTGTTGTCAGTGCCTTCCCTGACATAGCCCTTCCCAGAATTTTCTTAAGACTATCCACTGTCATGTGCAAACTACTCCACTCCTTTGGTGGAACTAAAATGAGTCTAGTAGGTCAGCAGTCAATGACCTCATTTATGGTATCAACAGAGAATGGAAATGTCTACCTGATAAAAACATTTTGGGAGGAGATGTGAGCATTATGCCACGCTAAAATCCAGTGGTCCCCTTATCTGAATTCCTCATGGAATGCCAGCTGGCATCCTGTCTCCTTTGCACAGGTGCCTTTTGGGGAGTCAGGGCTTCCCTGTGCCTCCTCTCTGTGAATACTGACACATGGGGTGAGAAAGGAAAGAACCATGAATTATATATTGACAACTGGTTGAGACCATCTGCCTGATTTGGACTTGCCAGCTCTGTCCTCTTGTTCTTTTGAATATTTCATTTGTATTTCTGACTTTGAGTCTTTGTATTTTGTTTCCACCAACTGAAATACACCTTCCACATGTTGTCACCTGTACTTGTCTTTCAAAGTTCATGTTGGGCCTCTTTTTTGCAAGTCCTTTTCTACCACCCCAACCCAAATGGATCTACCCATTCATTGAACTCCTGCGGTGTTTACTATAAGAAATATTCATTTTAGCACTTACCCTCCTGGTGTGCGTACTGCTGTGAAATATAAGCATGTAAGCTCTAGTTTGTGAGCCCTGTGGAGGCAGGATTACATCTTACCCTTCTACGGAATCATGCTCAACACACTAACATGTTTGGCAATAAATGGCAAATACTTGTAGTCACTGTAGATATAAACTTAAATCTTCATAGTTACATTTTTAAATCAAGGAGGTTAAAGGTAATAAATATTGGAAAAGTAAAATTCAGTGATGTTGAAATATATTCCAAATGTAGAAATTGCTTGCCACCCTTTTACTTATCTTATAACAGTACCCTAAGTTTTTGTGCATTATGCTACCAAGCCATTCCACTGGACTACGGTAGAGTGCCTGGATCATAGTATCTGTATTTATTGAATAAATGAAGTACATTCTGCATAAGCATTGGGTCCATGGCAGCTGCATATAGTTGTGAAAGTTTGGGAGTTGTGCACTTCACAACTGTAGGGAGCACTATTTGCAGAGACCAGGGTGTATACAAACAACCAAGCAACTCTAGGCCATACTTAAGAAAGTTCCTCCAGAGCAGGGGTTGGCAAACTATGACCCATGAACCAGGTCCAGCTCCCTGCCTGTTTTTATAAATAAAGTTTTATTGGAACACAAGCACACCCATTTGTTCATATATTGTCTATGACTGCTTTCCTGCTACCATGGACAAGTTGAATATGAGACTGTATGTCCCTCAAAGCCTGAAATATTGACTATCTGACTCTTTAAGAAAAAGTTTGCTGACCACTTATGAGATGAATTGAAAAAAATTAAACTCATTTGGTTTTTAAATGTCTTCTACTAATTGGTTAAGTGCAAAAAATGTTTTATTATGCTATTTTTTTCCGTTTCAAAGTTATCTTACTCTTTTGCAGTAATGCCTGAAAATGCAAACTTTCCATATCGGCGGTATGATCGGCTCCCTCCAATCCATCAATTCTCCATAGAAAGTGACACAGACCTCTCCGAGACTGCAGAGTTAATTGAGGAATATGAGGTTTTTGATCCTGCTAGACCTCGGCCAAAAATCATTCTTGTCATAGGTATGAGGACAGAAAGCAAAATTCTCATACTATTCCTAACTTTGTTTATATACTATTTACGTTTCAAAAAATTATGTTAATTATGCATCTTATTTGCAAATAGTTGGGTAAAAAATGACAAGCAATAGAAACAAAAGCTCAAGAGGCAATAGATGGAAATATTTTTAGCACGATTTTCAATAAAACAGAAATTGTTATAATTATATAATCTAATGCCTATGGCAGTTTTATAGACTCCATTACAATGTCATACAAATTCTCTATAAATTGAAAGTAAGTACTAATCTCTTCAAGATTTATTGACCTGTGGTTTTGTGTTTAATTTTTAACATAGATAACTGAATTCATTTGAAGTTTTCTGAACATGATGTGTTTTTTTCCCTTTAACTCAACAAATTGAATTTTTATTCACTATTAACTTTAGAGGGAAAAATAAATAATAATATATTGGTAAAGACTCATATAAAGGAATATACATTATGGCAAACTGGTAACTACAATAAAATATAAGTTTTGATATTATTAGACAAGCAAATCTAAGTGTTTTACACAGCACAGAATATCTCAGTATTAATCAAAACAATGATAATAGTTAACTTTTATATTGCCACTTATGTTGAATATGGAAATAATCAGTCTGGTGCCACTTCACAAGGAATAGCTATTGCAAACATTTTAAGTATTTTTTTCCCAGAATGCAATTTTGACCCCTCTTGCAAATTCTAACTTCCTCAGAATCTACAAAAATCATAAAGAGACCTGTGAACATGCGATATAGGTAGTCATTGTCTCCCTTTCCAGATTGACTCAGCTTTCACAGAGATGACCAAAAGCAAACATCTAATGTGAAATGTTCAAAGTTATTCTAGCCAGCCAGTAACTGTTAACAGAGGTCAAAATACATACAGCCTGCATGCAAAGAAGCACTGCTTCCAGAAGATATAACAATGATGGCAACCAGGAAAAAAGCATGCAAATAAACACACCACGCTATAACAAGAGTTTAAGTTCACCAGACTAGAAAAAATGACATTTGTGTACTTCTAAGTGTAATGAAAATGCAATTGCAAATATATTTAACCTTGAAGTATTTAAAATAATATAAGAAGAAGAGACTATAGAAATCGACTTTCCAAAAGTCAAAATATTCTTGTAGTGTATGGTAGTTACTCTTATGCCATAAACCTCTATCTATTCTTGAAAGTGGGATTTTTTTCACATGTACTTAAAAATTTAAGGTCTGTACCTAGAACACAAAGAAATGCTTTATTAAAAGAGCTACATGTGAAGAACAATTGGAAATTATTTCACCATTCTATAATGAAATATTCTTTCCATTTTGTTTTTCTTGTCACAGTTACTAAAATATCATTGATTATTAACAGGATGAATAAGTGGAGGCTTGATTGACCATAAAAAAAGGGTAATATCAAATCTCTCTTGTGGAAAAAAAAACACATAAATGAATTTTTTGTGCCTTGTGAATTTTATATGAAATTATTAAAGTATTTCAATAAACTAAGATCTTTGGAGAAGATACAAATGCTCAAATCTCCTCCATTACACACATAGCTCCTTTTTACTCAGTAAAATCAAGTTGCTTCCCAAGGGTGTGATTTTGGTTTTAGACTTACATGCTGTATTATCACATTTTATGTATTACAAGAATGATGCAGAACCAATGAGCATAAATACTTTTTAGAGGATTGAGATAACAGATGAAAGGAAAAGACGAACCTTAGGTTATCTAAGAAAATTGGGATAATTTTGTGATTTTTGAGAAATTATAAAATAATTGGACCTGAACCTTACAAATTTTTATTAGTTCCAACCTGGAAAAGGGGCAGGAGAGGTACAAGGATCCCCATGATATTACATCCAAATAAACAAAATTTCCCTTCTGGTGATGCAGAATTTTTTTTTTTTAATTTTTACTGGGAAACAGCCATGGTCACTGGTTACACATTGCTTTCATGCTACAATGGCATAGTTGACTCTTTTAGGGAGGGCACAGCTCACAGTGGCCCATGCGGGGATGGAACCAGCAGCCTTGGTGTTATCAGTACCACACTCTAACCAACTGAGCTAACCAGTTACCCCAGAATTTTTTTTCTTTTTAAGCTGGACATCTTGGCACAGATATGCATCTCTCTTATGTGAATGTAATCATGAAATCTAAGAGTTAGATGGATCCTAATATTTGTAAGTATAGAGATAAATAGAACAAAATTAAACTCACTCTGGTTTGAGAGAGAAGAAAGTAAAATTAATCTGGTAAGAAGTTTCAGTAATCCTACTCATCCAATAAATTAATGCTATTCTCTGTAAGTTTTGCTAATCATATTTTTTGTTATCTACTACTGCCTCCATTAGTTGATAAAAAGACAATTTTTTTCTGTGATGGTGCTATAACTTTCTTAGTATGTTTAAATATATTTTTTAATTCAGTGGAATTTATAATCTTAGTTTCATGGTTTGTGAGATCAAGTGTAGAAATACAGTAAATGAAAGACCGCTTTCATTCTTCAGGGATCAAATCAGTTTGAATTTGTTGATGGAGCTGGTCATACAATTTTTTTTTTTCTTCAGGCCAATTCATGATTTGCCCATAGGTTAACAGGCCAAAAGCTGCTACTTAGAGCCAAAACTAACTTTTGATTTGCAAAGTAATTAATTTAATCTGGCAGTAGTTCATAACATTAAATCTAATAGGATAGGATTTAGAATTTTTTAGAAAGACAGCGATCAAAAATATAAACAAGTTCCTATCTTAAGTTTAATGAAACAATAATAAGATAAAACCCAGATATTAGGTACATTATTTGGGGTTGGGGTTAAAAAATGGTTCTCATTATATTACTGATCTTAGAATTCTGCACATTACATTTCCAATGAGGAAATAAGCCCTGGCCAACCAAGTTACCCAGCTGGAACTTTTCTTTCACAAAACAAAACAAAAACAAAACACCTGTCTTTCTTTTTTACTTATATTACTTGCAACACAAATAAAAAATGTTTACTAAATAATTATGTATAAAATGACTTCTACTCCCAAAAACTTGATATATTATATTAGTGGGGAAAACATCAACTCACTTTTCTATGGAATTTTCATTTTCAATATTGCTTAATTATAATTATATTCCAATGAGTGTCACCAAAGGATTTCATTACTTATTAGAAATTGACTTTTTAAAATATTTTGTCTGCTTATTAAATAATTTATACTTAGGTATTTGAAAACATTTCATTTGATAATTTTGATAATAACAAAATAATAAATCAGATTGGGCTGACTGCTATGTGCTTTATTTTGATATTTGTTCAGACTTTAGATTCCAATTTGTCTAGGCTGTTTAGAAATATAAATTAACCAAAATAATCTAATATGATTTGGAAATAAAACTTGAGGCGTATATTTATAATTATTTTTAGTACTTAAGCTTTTAAAAAAATAAATGTCATTACCAATGATTAGTATTGAGTTATGTTGCAAAATGTTTATCCTTTCACACTAATGTATCACCAAATCAAACTTATCATGAGTTCTGTGAAATTGTTCTACCATAAGGATCTATTCCATTTACTCTGCATATTTATTACATAAAACTTCTTTTGAACTTAAAGGAGATAAGGCAAGGACATGCATGAACAGAAAGAGTTTTTTAAGATTTAAATAAGCCACATCAATATTGGTGTGTCTTTTGTTTAAAAATATTTGTCACATTTCACCATATTGTTCATTATCTCTTTGTTGACATGGAGCACATGTCTGTTATTTCAATCATTGTCTTTTGTATTCCATAGATTTTTCTTTGATTACAGAGGAAAAACTATGAGAGCTTACACAGAAAAATCATAACGGTTTACTTCAATGGCATTGTTAAAATTTTTTAAATTAGTTATGTACTGAAATAGGTAGAGGGAAAAAAATGTCTCTTTCATCTAATGCAGTTGATCATGACCATTCTACTCTTTCCTTGGTTGGTCTAGTGCAGGGGTGGGCAAACTTTTGAGACGGAAGAGCCAGTCCTGTCCCTCACAACAATTTAAACTATTTGAGAGCCATACAACAAATGAAGTCACCATTATGTGAATAATAGTCTTTAAAAATTTTATAAATGAAACTATGATAGTTTTACTTTCATTTTCAATTTTACTTCAGAGCCACATGTATGTACCCAAAGAGCCACATACGGCTCGCGAGCCGCAGTTTGCCGACCCCTGATCTAGTGGAACAGTTACCTGCCCTGGTACTGTTGGTCTGGTATCTGCTTCTCACGATGAAGTTAGTAGTTGCATAATAGAGAGTTTCTCATTGTATTAGAAGGTCACAAGTTTGCCTGTTTTAAATGATAGGTGGCCCAGGAAGTGGAAAGGGTACTCAAAGTTTGAAAATCGCAGAACGTTATGGATTCCAGTACATCTCAGTGGGAGAACTATTGAGGAAGAAGATCCACAGTACCAGCAGTAACAGGAAGTGGAGTCTTATTGCCAAAATAATTACAACTGGAGAATTGGCCCCACAGGTACTGCTGTATAATTTGCACTTATTCTGCCTTTCTTATACCATTTGTGAGCATACTAAGTTTAACTGTGGTTTTGCATCTCTTTTTCTTTATAAAAGGAAACAACAATTACAGAGATAAAACAGAAATTGATGCAAATACCTGATGAAGTGGGCATTGTTATTGATGGCTTTCCAAGAGATGTTGCCCAGGCTCTATCTTTTGAGGACCAAGTAAGAATGTCTTCTTTTATTTTAAATGACCTAATTTTTACTTAAAACCTTGAAGTTAAAAAAAAAAAAGATTTCTTGGAAGACTTGCTGTTATTTGGAATGAATTCTGGTCTGAAAACGGGCAAGTACATCAGTATGGGTTGGCAGAAGTTCATTTCCTTGGTGCTTAAAAACTGAAGAGCCTCTGCCAAAAGGAAAGATAAAAACTAATAATAGAAATAATTGTTTTTATTAAAAATGCTAATTTCTGTAATCTTTATTTCAAAATACTTTCCCTAAGATTATATTTTAAATCTTTAATTATTGAAAAAAAACAAGCCTTATTCAGCACTGCCTGGGATATAAACATCACCTGTACTAATTCATACATTGTTACCAATGAAGGAAGCCCTCTTCACAGGCCTGTGAAATACTAAACTACCTACCTATTAAAAAGTAGGGCTCAGGTTGCCAAAATTTACTCAAGTTTGAGTAGACCATGCCTGCTCAGCCTCCAACACATCTATTTTAAGGGGAAATAAATAAATTAAAACATTTCATATATCTATTTAATCTTTGAAAAGTTAGTATGACTGATTTTTCACTTAAAAGCTTGAATTACAAAAATAGTATATGGTTATAAAAATTTTAAGTTCTGGTGCAAAAAGTGTAATACCCTCCTTCCATTCCACTGCCCCCCCCCTTCTCCTGATAGAAATATTATTAAGCTTGTTCTATATCTTCCCAGGCCTTTTTCTGTACACTACACACTTACACACACATCCATACATATCACACACATCACGCACATGTATGCATGTTCACATACAATGGATTTTTAATCTTCATAGCTATTTCCAAACCGCCCTCTAAAAAGACTTTTCCAAGTATAGTCCCATCAATGCTGAATAAGAGTATTTCTCCAGACTCTTTTGAACCAGATATAACTCATATTTAAAATTTTTGTCAACCTAATACATAAGAAATGGCATTTTTCACATTTGCATTTCTTGAGTTACTGCTAAGGTTAAGTATATTTTCAGATACTTATTGAACATTTGTATTTCTTCCTTGTGTGTGAATTGCCTGCTTCCTTTTGCCCGTATTTCTACAGACTTGTTTATCATTTTTTTTTTACTTATTTAAAGAAGCATTAAACATATTACAGTTGTTATATCAAAGAGGATTAAGTCAAATGAGATATAAGGATGTCTCATATAAAAGAAGTCTGGAGTAAGGCAGTTCAAGGCGAAAAGATAGCTTCACAAAGCCTCTCTTTGAATCTTCAAATGAACTGTTTGGCGACCTATTGTGCTGCAATGTCTTTCTTCCCTCACGTTTCCCCCTCCCAAAGTTAGTCCAGAGCCTCTGGTGCTTACTCAGTTTAAGGACTTAATTCTGATTGTCTGGTATTTTAAAGAGAAAAACTAGAAAAATCAATATTGTGTTGTTTTGTTATTGCTGCTGCATGATACTGCTGTTGGAAATGAGTGCTGTGGCAGCCATTCCATGATTCTTGGCTATTGGTGGAAGCATGATAAGCAGGCATTCCCATCCAAACCTGGTCCACCCTACGTTTTGAATGAATGTACTTGGCAGGCACAAGCAGAAAAAGCTACTTGATTCTCTCTCTATTGCCTTTCACACATGCTATGCTCTCTCTCCTTCCCTCCCCTCCTCTCCCCTCCCCTCCCCTCTCCTCTCCTCTCCTCTCCTCTCCTCCCCTGGATAATAACTCAAAGAGAGCCCATATCTTTTCCAGTCACTTTAAAAACATTAACAGATAGTCTCGTTTTCAGGAATTAAAAAGCCCAGCCCACAATTACATCTCAATAAAACTGGGGGGAAATTTTAATTTAAAAAAATAGCCCTGTTCAATTTAAATCAAAACTTCACTTTCTCAGTCAATTTAACATAGCTCTGCTATCCTCAGATTGCGCCTGGTTCAGGCTCAGAAACCTAAAGCATGTCTCAGATACTGCTGTTCTTCCTCATGTGGCTTGCAGTGAGCGGGTAAGGAAAAGGGGCAGGAAATACACAGCTCTCCAGGAACTCTCTCTGGATACCAGATCAATCTCCTCCTTCTCTTATACAGCCTGGACTCGGGTGATGGGCCAAGGGACACAATACTAATTTGGGGACACCCGTTAGCAAGTTCTATAGGATGGTCTGGGATCTCTCTCTCTCTCTCTCTTTAGAGTGTGCAGTCACTTGTGTGTACTATTCTCAACCAGTCTGTAAAAGTCCATTTTAACATCTTCTTAGGCTGGTATTGTAGAAGCCTAGAGGTTCTTGGCCACTGTGGGCAGTACAGTGACACCTGAGGTCAGTGCCACTATTGCTGCCCTGCAAGAGTTCAGAGTGTCCAGAGGCAAAGCTGAAGTGTTTACGCAAAGCAAAGTGTTAGGGTCAGTCCTGATTACTCCACACCCTGTGTGCGGTTAAGCTCCTATGGTATCTTTTTTATGGTACGATTTTTGACAGCAAATGTGCGGGGGTTTCCCACACCGATTCTCCAATCCTCCAACACCAACTAGGTGTCCAACAAGGGACTTCAACTCTGACACTATCCGAGGTTAGCACAGACCCCACAGGTTAAGGGCTCAGTTCCCACCTTATAATCTCATGTTTGGTCTTTCTAACAACCAGCCCCATTCTGATGCTATGTAGGGGCCCCATCCTGAGTCACCTCATTATCTTAGACTCCAGTGTAGTCAGAAGGGGTTCGTTAACAACAAAAGACACACCTATCAAAAAATGCCAAGGGTCTTAGAAGCCCTGTGCTAAGAATCAGGGACAAAGATTAAATACATATTTTTATTATGCCACAACTCTTCAAGGGTTATTTTTTTAAACCAGCTCTTTTTAGTGCACATGTGGGCACATGCACACACATGCAGAAATTTTCCCCAAGGTTTCCTCACAGGTCCAGGGTATGTGAAAAGAGCAATTTCTGACGTCTGCCATATACTCGTACTAGTGATGGGAAGACCAGTGTAACAAAAAGACCTAACACTTACGTGGCTTAGAAGACAAAGAAGTATATTTTTCTGTTAGGTAATAGCATCAGAGTGAACAGTCCAGATTGGCTGGGCAGCTTTTCTCCTTGAAGTCATTTAAGGATCAGGGTTCCTTCCAAGTTGTTTTTCTGCCATCTCCTAGGACACTGTCACCATCTGTATGGTGAAAGCAGGGTTTCCATCGCATATGGGTTCCAGCTGGCACATAAGGGGAGAGAATGTGAAAGGCTGAAGTCCCAGATCTGGAAGTAACATCCATCACCTCTGCTCACATGGTGTTGTTGAGACTGTAGTCATGTTGTAGTTGCAGGAAATATAGTCCAGCTGGGCAGCCAGGTGCCTGGCTACAGTTCTAGGGCTATGGAAGGATGGGAGAACTCGCTAGCTGCTTCTACCACAGTGTGCCCCTTCAGCCATCCAAACGTCTGCATGCTTCCTTCTTCCCACACATGGAATGTCCTTGTTTACTCCCCAAGGAAAACAACTCAGTGTCCCATCATCTAGTCCAAAAGTCAAGGATCTTCACTTGATGTACAGTTCTCTCTATTAGGTCCAGGTTTAACTCTTCATACTCAGTCGCCTATAAACCAAACATCGAATTGTCTTCCCTCCCTGCCACCAATAAACAGTAGAAGAGCAAGACCAGGAGTAGTTAAATAAAGGCTCCTATTCAGAAAAAGGTAGTCTGGCAATATACATATATAGTAGTCATGGAACCATAGCAAATAACAGACTCTGTGAGGCAGGGATTGCAAATGATTCCTGACCTGGCAGTGCAGTCGTTTCCTGGGCTGACCCATTGGCAACTCCTTTCTCTCTCTCATGGAGTAACTCTGTCCATTCTCCTCGCAAGGCCCCTGGCCCTCTGAGAATTCCTTGTCCTGCCTAGCCACATCAGTTGTGTATTGGTGACTCTGCCCTCTTTGGGAGCTATTTTAAGTTTGAAAAAAAACGTAAGATTTTGGTTGCTTTGGTAAAACCATTTCCTCAAAAATTTGGTCGACTTCTCGTTTTGTCTCCGGTTACTTCCATATGTCTATAACTACACCCCAAGTTCTTTTCTGGATATAGCTTTAAACTACTTTCTTTCTTTGTTTTCTCATTTTGATGGCAGATTACCTTGAGGCTTGGCTAGGAAGACTGTCTCCATAGTCTGGGTTTTTCCTCAGGGTTGGACCCTCCCCCCCTTTTTTTTTGGAAGGGGAAGGAGGGTTAATGGGAGTCCTTTTGAGCGATAATAGCCTCATCTTCTGCTGTTTGGAGGCATAGAACAAGTTGGCGTTTTCAGACTTTCTTTTTTCTTTATCCGTTTGCAAATTGGCCAATTCTTTCTTGGGTTTATCTCTTTCTTGGAATATGTTGCTAAACATGACAAAAAGTTGTCAACACATACCGACATTTTAGCTCTTCCTACCCATCTCTTCTCATATAGGAGCATGGTCCGCCTTCCAAATGATCCCAAGTAATAGTTCCACCAAATATTTTGCAATGGCATAACAAGGGTCAACTTTCTAGCCTAAAATACCTGTGCCCTTACTGCCCGAGCAAAGCAATGCCACATATCTGAGTTTTTGATATAGCAGTCTCTGTCCCCTTCTATGACTATTTTCTATGTTATTTAGTGTAAGTACAAGATGCTATAATAAAAAGACAAAATAATATGACGGCATAACACAGAAATGTATTTCTCTGTACATAGCAGCCTCACTGTGAGCGAAAGCAGGGCGGCTTCAGTCCTCGCACGCATTCAGAGATGCTGAAGATTCTTGCCGAGTCATTGCTCCTCCAACCCCTGGGACAATGCTTCTCAACATTTTTTGGTCTTGGGACCCCTACACTTTTAAAAACTATTCAAGACATCAAAAAGCTTTCATTTGCATGGGATTTATCTATTGATATTTACCATGTGAGAAATTAAAACTGAGAAATTTAAAACTATTTATTAAGTCATCTTACAATAGCAATAAATCCATACAGGTTAATATAAATAATACATCTTTT